GACTTGCAACCCTATGAAAGACCTGGGCCAGAACCACCCAGCTAAGCTCCTGCTGGACTCCTGACTCTCAGAAACTGTGTGAAATAATAAATGCTTTTTGTTTTAACCTGCTAAGTTTTAGGGTCATTTTTAAAATGTAGCACAGATAACTAGTATAAATACCTAGAACCTTTCACAGAAAACTGCAAGGTTATTACATCATAAAGTAGATAATTAAAAGTCATAGGCTCTACTTGGCTTTACATTTTTCTCAATTTCTCACTATGCCTTCATTGATCACTGATACATTTGGAAGTAGCTCCGTAATGAAGTCTTCACTAAAAAATGACAGTCCACACTGATCCTCCCCTTTAAATCCACTGAATTGAATGAGCAAATAATCATTTGGTATTTATTCCATGTGCGGTAATATGCAGAATAGCAACCTAAGTAATTGCTAATTCTTTTTTATTTTTTATCATCTATATTTAAGGTATAAAACAGATGTTTTGATATACATATAGTAATAAGTTTATTAAGTATTAGCAATTACAATTTTGTTGTTTGTGTTAAAAAATTTTAAACTGCCATGAAGTTATAGTCTATGAGAAATTACATCCGTATTTGGCAAGCAGGAAAAGTTCACTATGGAGGTACATAGAAGGATAAGTAGAATTCTGAGAGGCAGAGATGGAGGGTGTAAGGGGAAGACAATGAAGCCCATTTCTAATAAAGCAGCAGAACAGTAGTCTGAGCAAATGAGCAGAGGAAAGGAGTTTGTCTTGAAGGATTACCAAGTGCCAGAAACACAGTGCTTTTTATATATGTGTACACTGACCCTATGACAACAAGGAAGGTTAAGTATTATATATTCTCATTTTGTAAATGAAGATTAATATATGTTTTGCTAACACTGTCAGATGGGGTTGCAGTTATCTGAAGGCTTGACTGAGGCTGGAAGATCCACTTCCAAGCTCATTCACATGGCCATTGGCAGGAGGCCTCACTTCCTTGAGATGCTCACAACATGGACTCCTCCAGAGCAAGTGATTGGAGAGAAACAGAGAGAGTACACGTATGTAGCCAGGGGTGGAGGGGGAGAGAGAGAGAGAAAGAGAGCAAGCACAAGGGTGCATACATGTGTATAACCAAAACAGAAGCTATAATGCTATCACAGGTACGTCTGCTTTATTTTACTGGCTGTGCACATACAGACCGAACCTGGTGATAATAGTGCAACTGGAACTACACAAGGAGGATGAACACCAGGAGATGTAAGTCGTTGTGCCTTTCTTAGGACTAGCTATTACAGTGCTCGATACCTGGGTAGTTATTTATCCCAAAGGAATAGTGTTTGCCTGTTCTATGAATGAAACAATTGTAATCTAATGGTGTCAACATTTTAAAACTTTCACAAAGATTTTAAAACCTGTGGTCACTGTGAATGAATTCTTTTCAAGTTTCCCTACATGAGGCAGAGACTTTTAGTAAAATTATACCTACACTTTATATTATAGAATAATTTCTGTTTTCTCTCCAGTTGCCTTTTACTTTTCTGGTTGAAATCTGGATTCCTTTTTCCCATTTAATCATTCAGATTATTTTCTAGATGAAATGACAAAAAGAAGCAGAGATAGGATAATTCTTCAACCGTAGAAAGCCTTGGAGAAACTACTGATATCTTGAATATGGTAATATTTCCTATCTGTTTATCTAAAATGAGTTTGAATTTTAGTTCATTGTGTATGTGAATGTGTGTATACTTCCTATACTCTCTATATGCATGAAAACACTTTCTTGTTTCTTATTTGGTTTGTTTATTTTAACCAACTATATTGAGATATAATTCACATATAAAATTTGTTTTGATCCTCACATTATTAGTATGGCAATTGAGAGTGGCATTCTATCACTATCTGAACTGTTTTCCCTCATTAATAATGTATATATGCACACACATATATATAAAATTGTACTATATATATAGTACCAATACAATAGTATATATACTGTATCTTTTTTATAATATATTATTTATTATTATTTCAGACACACATTGATGAGCCTGAATTCCAATGAAAAGTCATTAAAATTATCACGCAGTTCAGAAACAAAAGGTATAATATGGAGATTTATTTTCATTATTGTTGGTAAGAGCAGTTTAAGTTAATTTTTGGATGGTTTTTTGGAAAGAACACAAAGAAACTAAGCGCATTTACTTACTTAGAATTTAAAAGACGAAGGGATACAATGTAGATAACCTCCATTTTGCCGTGTCCTGATGTTATGTATTTTCTGTAAAGAAACAAGAGTGGAAGCATTTTATTGCTGAAATTTGCTCTTTGAGATCACTAACTAAGTTATACTAGCCATACTTTCTCCTTCTGTCAAGCCATAGGTTATGGATTGGTTTTATGTGTAGGAAAAGACTACCATTTATTGATAAGAGTGGCCTCTGATTGGTATGGATGGACTTTGAATGATATATACTATCTACTTTACATAAGAATTAATCATTTAGACTCACATTTGTGATTATAACTTGATCAAACCCCATATTTGGTTGGGCTTTAATTTATCAAGAATTGATAGCATAAAATAAGATTAAACATTTGGAAATTAAGAGGCTGTTCTGGGGTAGGAAAGAGAGCTTTAATGAATAGACAAAAGCAAAAGAAGCGGAATAGCTGTGGTTTTCACAAACCGCACGAGTAAAGGCCTGCTCCTGAAATCCTTGCTTTTCCTGCGCTTAAGGACTAGTGTTGCATGAATGAATGAGGACATTTGAGGATTAGGAAATACAATGTGGAGAAATGTAAATTGAGGAGAAGAAGACTATAAAAGAACAATATTTAATATTTCTATTTGTAAGTGTCTTGACATGTCATGTTCAAGTTTAAAACCTCTTAACATTGAGTACACCTGAAGTGCAGGAGAAATATCGCTAAATTGTTAATGAATCTAGAACTAGTCCTCACATTCGTTTCTATCTGCCACACCCACATGGTGAATAACAGCATTGGTCCTTTGAAAAGGGAGAAGCTGTCGAACACACACGTGGTAGAAGCTCAATGAATATTGACTGAGTTGACTGCACTAGACCTTCCCAAGCAAGACACCTTCTCTTGTTCCTTTCCTTCGCTCTTCCCTTGTAGACTCCAGGCTGCTCCGTCCTTCTGCGGTGCTTTACTTGTGCTAAGGGAACCACGGAAAGCGCATGTGCCTTTAGAACATCAGTTCGGCAACCGGGGCCTTCCTCTCTTAGGCTTAAAAGAATCATGTACTTTTAAAGAGCAAGACCAAGAACACACCAGAAAACGAAAGCAATTGCTTTCAAAGCTGACATATATTTAACTTTCTATAGTCCCTTTTTTAATGTAGGCCCTACTCAAGGCCTACTTTAGTAACATGATAAAAGATTTATTGGGGAGGGCAGGGGGAGGTATTGCATTGGGGAGTTTACCTGATGTAAAGCACGGAGTTGTATGGGCCACGCACACCAACATGGCACAAGTATACATATGTAACCAAACCTGCACGTTATCCACATTAACACAAACTACACTAGGAAGTATAATAAACAAAAATAAATTTTAAAAAAATAAAAAAATAAAAAATAAAAAAAAAAAAAATAAAATAAAAGATTTATTATACTCTTCTGTGTATTAACTTGTTAATTTTAATTGTCATGTTGTAATAATCTCTTTGGCACAATAGGAACCTCTTCCTAGGCCTAATCATCACAGTTTATACAATTTGAATTAGTGAGTTTTACTATCCAGAGACCCAAATTCATTAGATATTTGCATCCTATAGCTTTGTTTGTAGAATTTAGATCAGCAATTTGGTTTGCCTTATTTGGTCCAGCAGGAAATTACTTTATATTGTAATACATTATTCAAATGTCAGTGTTTGATTTCCATAGTTTTTTATACAAATCTTACATTTTACACTTAATAGTCTTTCCTCTTAGTGTTCTTCATTTATAGAAATTATTATAATTAAAGAGTAATCAGTACAAGGAAGAAGGTCAAAAATTTGAAAGCGCATATGAAGGTTTGTGTTAGAAAGAAAAATATATTCGTTATTATTTAGTTATAGATAAAAAAACTTTCATGTGCAGTTTCTTCAGTTCTAGGAGTGGACTAGTCATTTTTTTCAAATTTTACATTTTTTATTTATTTTGTGAATTTTGTGGACTCAAAAGACAAATGAAAATTTGAAAATTAGGCCTGGTGTGGTGGCTCATGCCTGTAATCCCAGCACTTTGGGTGGCCAAGATGGGCAGATCACTTGAGGTCCAGATTCCGGACGACCAGCCTGGCCATCATGGTAAAACCTCATCTCTCTACTAAAAATACAAAAATTAGCTGGGTGTGGTGGCGCGCACCCATAGTCCCAGCTACTCAGGAGGCTGAGGTGAGAAAATCGCTGGAACCCAGGAGGCAGAGGCTGCAGTAACCTGAGATCATGCCACTGAGCTCCAACCTAGGTGACAGAATGAAACTCCGTCGCAAGAAAAAAAATTTGAAAATGAGAGATGATCGGGAAAGTGGGAAAAATATACTAAGCTGTACTATGTACAAGAAAAGCGTACTTTTTTTTCTTTGAGATGGAGTTTCGCTCTTGTTGCCCAGGCTGGAGTCCAGTGGCACAGTCTTGGCTCACTGCAACCTCCGCCTGCCGAGTTCAAGCAGTTCTCCTGCCTCAGCCTCCCGAGTAGCTGGGATTACAGGCATGTGCCACCACTCCCAGCTAATTTTTGTACTTTTAGTAGAGACAGGTTTTCACCATGTTGGCCAGGCTAGTCTTGAACTCCTGACTTCAGGTGATCCACCCGCTTCGGCCTCTTAAAGTGCTGAGATTACAGGTGTGAGCCACTGTGCCAGGCCAAGAAGTGTACATTTTTTAATAGCATCTTGCAAAATTAATCTCGAAGTTTTATGTAAGGATTGATTCGGATTGAGAAAAGAGGCAGAGAATAAATATTGATGGTATTGTGATTAATGGCAAAATTAAGGCAGGTAGTACGAGTTGAAAATTAAACACAGATACATGTTACTAAATCAAAATTAGATGTATCACAGACTAGAGAGTGGCACAAATGATCCTTAAAGAAAACAAAACTTCAGCAAACTATCTGGTAAAATTTGCTATTTTTATTCTCCTTGACTTATAAAAATGTAAAATCTTGGCAGTATTTAAAGTAGATAAGGTGTCCTTGTAAACTAATAGTAGTATGACTATGATAATTACTTCAAAAAATTACAGAAACAACAAACAATTGGGGAACTGATGCAGCACACAGCTCTTACTGAAAACGATGATAGTGATGAATATGAAGAAATGTCAGAAATGAAAGAAGGGAAAGCATGTGAGCAACATGTGTCACGAGGGATTTTCATGACGCAACCAGCTACGCCTATCGAAGCATTTTCAGATGAGGAACTAGGTAATGACTCAGGCCAGGTGGGACCTCAGGCTGACACTGATGGAGAGGGTTTACAAAAAGAGGTATTTAGACATGAAAATAATAATGGTGTTGATCAACTTGATGCCAAGGAAATAGAAAAGGAAAGTGATGGAGGACACAGTCAGAAGGAATCAGAAGCAGAAGAAATAGTCAGTGAGAAGGAAACTAAACTGGCAGAAATAGCAGGTATGAAGGATTTAAGAAAAAGGGAAAAGAGCACAAAAAATATGAGTTCTTTCTTTGGCAACTTACCAGATAGAGGTATGAATACTGAGAGTGAAGAAAATAAAGATTTTGTTAAGAAAAGGGAAAGTTGCAAGCAAGATGTGATCTTTGACAGTGAAAGAGAATCAGTAGAAAAGCCAGACGTTACATGGAAGGTGCAAGTGAGAGTCCGCAGGGTATAGCTGATGGGATTCCAGCAGCCGGAGGCAATAGAATTTAGTAGTGGAGAGAAAGAGGATGATGAAGTGGAAACTGACCAAAACATATGGTATGGCAGGAAATTGATTGAACAAGGAAATGAAAAAGAGACTAAACCCATAATATCCAAATCCATGGCAAAGTATGATTTTAAATGTGATCGCTTGTCAGAGATCCCAGAGGAGAAGGAAGGTGCAGAGGATTCAAAAGGAAATGGAATAGAGGAGCAAGAGGTAGAAGCAAATGAGGAAAATGTGAAGGTGCATGGAGGAAGACAGGAGGAAACAGAGATCCTATCAGATGACCTTACAGACAAAGCAGAGGTGAGTGAAGGCAAGGCAAAGTCAGCGGGAGAAGCAGAGGATGGGCCTGAAGGTAGAGGGGATGGAACCTGTGAGGAGGGTAGTTCAGGAGCAGAACACTGGCAAGGTGAGGAGAGGGAGGAGAAGGGGGAGAAAGACAAGGGTGGAGGAGAAATGGCGAGGCCGGGAGAGGGAGAGAAGGACCTAGCAGAGGAGGAGGAATGGGAGAAGAGGGATGGGAAAGAGCAGGAGCAAAAGGAGAGGGAGCAAGGCCATCAGAAGGAAAGAAACCAAGAGATGGAGGAGGGAGAAGGGGAGGAGGAGCATGGAGAAGGAGAGGAAGAAGAGGAAGACAGAGAAGAGGAAGAAGAGAAAGAGGAGAAGGAGGGAGAAGGGAAAGAGGAGGGAGAAGGGAAAGAGGAAGGAGAAGGGGAAGCAGTGGAGGGAGAAGGTGAAAAGGAGGAAGGAGAGGTGGAAGAAGGAGAGAGGGAAAAGGAGGAAAGAGCGGGAAGGAGGAGAAAGGAGAGGAGGAAGGAGACCAAGGAGAAGGGGAAGAGGAGGAAACAGAGGGGGAAGGGGAGCAAAAAGAGGAGGGAGGAGAAGTAGAGGAGGGGAAAGGAGAGGGGGAAAAGGAGGAAGGGAAGGGGGAAGAGGAAGAATGAGATGGGGAGAGGGAAGAGGAAGAAGGAGAAGAGGAGGGGGAAGAGGAGGAAGGAGAAGGGAAAGGGGAGGAGGAAGGAGGAGAAGGGGAGGGGAAAGAGGAGGAAGGAGAAGGGAAAGGGGAGGAGGAAGAAAGAGAAGAGGGGGAAGAGGAGGAAGGAGAAGGGAAAGGGGAGGAGGAATGGGAGGAAGGAGAAGGGGAGGGAGAAGAAGAGGAAGGAGAAGGGGAGGGAGAAGAGGAGGAAGTGGAAGAGGAGGAGGAAGGGGAGGAAGGGGAAGAGGAGGAGGAAGGGGAGGAAGGAGAAGGGGAGGAGGATGAGGAGGAAGAGGAAGGGGAGGGGGAAGAGGAGGAAGGGGAAGGGGAGGAGGAAGGAGAAGGGGAAGAGGAAGAAGAAGGAGAGGGGGAAGAGGAGGAAGAAGGAGAGGGGGAAGAGGAGGAAGGAGAAGGGGAGGGGGAAGAGGAGGAAGGAGAAGGGGAGGGGGAGGAGGAAGGAGAAGGGGAAGAGGAAGGAGAAGGGGAGGGGGAAGAGGAGGAAGGAGAAGAAGAAGGGGAAGAAGAAGGAGAGGGAGAGGAAGAAGGGGAGGGAGAAGAGGAGGAAGGGGAGGTGGAAGGGGAAGAGGAAGGGGAGGTAGAAGGGGAGGAGGAAGGGGAGGAGGAAGGGGAGGTGGAAGGAGAGGAAGAGGAAGGAGAGGAGGAAGGGGAAGAAAGGGAAAAGGAGGGGGAAGGAGAAGAAAACAGGAGGAACAGAGAAGAGGGGAAGTACCAGGAGACAGGCGAAGAAGAGAATGAAAGGCAGGAAAGGCAGAATGGAGACGAGTACAAAAAAGTGAGCAAAATGAAAGGATCTGTGAAATATGGCAAACATAAAACATATCAAAAAAAGTCAATTACTAACACACAGGGAAATGGGAAAGAGCAGAGGTCCAAAATGCCAGTGCAGTCAAAACAACTTGTAGAAAACGGGCCACCAGGTTCCAAAAAGTTCTGGAATAATGTATTACCACATTATTTGGAATTGAAGTAACAAACCTTAAATGTGACCCGATTATGGCCAGCCAAACAATTTAAATGCCTTGCATATAACAGGCACTCATTACATGTTGTTAAATTGATTTTATGTCAGTTATTTTATGTGTAGTAAAAAAAAGCAACTGATGCAGCTGTGTTAAGGAGCCAAAGACAACAGGAGGCACTGGTAAATTTTGGCCTCTCTCAGACTAAAATTTTGGTGTATTTCACCCCCAAATTATAAAACCATAGCTAGAAAATATTAAAAGGTCATATCAGATTATTAACATTATATATTCATTAAAGGCAGCTTTAGGAAATAAGAATATACTACAAGAGTGTTTTGATTGTGTGTATAAATCATTCCATTTTTAAATGACACAGATGCTTAAGGGCTATAAAAACTTCTAATTTCTTATAAATGTGTTAGCACTTTTTTTAAGTTAGTGATTACAGTTTACCTGCTGTATAGAATAATTTTGTAATAATGAATGGTATTCTGAAACTCAATTGAGGCATTCACATTTTAAAGAAAACGTGATCTGCTGCTTGGGGTCACCTGTCTTACTATGTATCTTTTCCGCAAAACTCTACACGCGTGACAGCTTGTGTTCACGAGTTAGAACTCCCAAAAACGGTGATCTCCTTTTACGCCCGGACCTCCTGGCCCAGCGATGGCAGTCATACCGTAACTGACAATGGTGCCGATTAATTTAAATCGTTAATCTGGGAAATATCGCTAAAACTTGAAAGTACTTCTTGTGGTCCCAGGCAAAGCCTACTCACCTGGGCGCCCCGCGCGCGCCTTCGAGTTTCCCTCATCTCTAAGAAGGTGCAGTCGGATGAGAACATATGTGATAACTGCAGTCCCTTCTCAACCTCTCACAATTCTGTTTTCATTTCTCCGAGAGATCTCCACGTCTATCATCTGTTACTCGTCGTGAGGCAACCCAACAATATAAATAAGGGAAGCAAAAATTATCTGACGGGTTAACATTAAATTTAGATTTTCCTATACACAGTTTTTTCCTTTACTCTTGAACAAGGTTATTGACAGCATGTTAATGTCTCTTGTCTTCTTGTATTTTTATTATTAAACTCCTGGTCATTTCCAAGCTTTAATGAACGATAATCTTTGATCAATAGTGCTTCATCTTGATTCTGCTCTTTCACTTCAGTCAGGTATTGCGTATCTGATTGACGTGGATTAGCTCTTTTTCACACTCCATATGATTTCCATGAACTAATGAACTATACATTTAACTTTGGTTATTTATATATTACTTCATGTTCAAAGCCCACTGTCTATCGAACGCATATATGTACACATGAAAATCTTGCGAGAGAACATATTAACAAAAGATATCAACAACGAGATATACATATGAGGAGCTACTAAATTCTTAGAGCACAATAAAGCCTAAGGAAACAACTGATAAAGGTCTCATAAATAAAGTAAACACGTTCGTATAAGTCCCTTAGGAGAAGAGGGACATGAGAGTTTAGATAATAAAAAACCACAATTACAGCGTAAAGAAGCTAAACATGAGATTGACAATTGGTCCCCTCATTAAGCTGTTATCACATATAACACTTTTCAACAAGAGTAAAGAATCCGCAACAAGCATAGCTTAATTATAACTACATTTAAGTGTATTAAAATGGTGAACCTTTTTTTCTTCCTCTTATTATACTTCAAGTTCTAGAGTACAATGTGCACAACCGTGCCAGGTTTTGATTACTATATGTAATTACATGCTGCCATGTTGGCTGCTGTCTGCACCCATTCAACTCGTCATCTTACATTAGAGTATGCTCTCCTAGATGCCTTATTCCCTCCCCCCTCCCCCACCACCACGACAGGCCCCTGGTGTTGTGATGTTCCCCTGCCCTGCTGTCCAAGTGATCTCATTCTTCAATCCCATCCTATGAAGTGAGACACATGCGGTGTTTGGTTTTCTGTTCTTGTGATAGTTTGCTGAGAATGATCGTTTCCAGCTGCACCTCCATGTCCCTACACAAAGGACATAACTCATCCTTTTTTATGGCATGCATAGTGTTCCATGGTGTAGTATGCTGTGTGGCTTCCTCTTTTTCAACTGATTTCTTTCATAGTCCCTTTATTCCTGCGACATGAGATATTCTTATACTTAGCTTTTATCTAAGGACGGATTTTGACTGACAAACTTTCCTGTGAAGTTTTACTGTAGTGAAATTCTTGTGCACCATTTGCATTCTCCTGGGTGAAGAAAGAATGTCGAGGAAGTCGTATAGAAGACTCATATTGAGTAAATATTTCCTAGGCAGCAAGTTTGTAAATTTTACCCTTAGCGCAAGGATCTTCTGGCGAGCCTTCCGCCCTAACTAACCACATGTCGATTTGCGCATTACAGTGCTTCTACTAAATTCAACCTGCATTCATTAAGGGTTAGTAGAAAAGAATAATATATGATAAAAATACTATATGCCGAACATGATTATTTAAAACAGTACGACTGTAAAATGATTAATAAGATGGGATGAAACAGAGTGTCATAAAGAAGAAATACTCCTCCAGGGAACATGAGAAACCTCTAAACTCCACAGTTCTATTAATGTAATCATCTACTGCCCATTCATCCTTCCTATTGAGAGAGATATCCAGCCAGTAAATAGCTGAAACAACGTTCTAAAATACGCCCATCTCAGGTATATAACTGGTGCTGTTATCTGTCCATGTTGTAAATAGCAATTCCTTCACATTTTCCCTGACCAAACAACGTTTGCTGTGCTCTCTTAGTATGGCTAGTCTTCGTCCAGCATAATCGTTTTCTTGTGGAAGCAACTGGCCTTCGCCTAGTCCCTTTGACGACCAAGAGGCCCTGTCCTTCTGGGTTTTTGCCACTTTGAAGCTGCTGAACCTGGCCTAGTCTCTTCAGCTGTAGCAGTCCTCCAATCTTTCTTCATCTGGAACAATTTAATAGAAATGCCAGAAGTGAGGTGACTAAGGTATTCCTGCTCAGGAACCGGCAGCTTGTCTCATCTACCCAGCTAGCAGCCTCTGCTCACCCACCCAGATTTCTCTGGCAGCTTTCCGTCCGTTTCCTGCAAAAAGACAAACTCTTGAACGTGTACCGTCACCAAAGTGACACACACTTCAAACGTAACTAGTAGTTATACTGAAGTAATGCATTTATCCTAAACTACGTACAGCACACGACTAACTTTTATGCCCACGCTGTCGCAAACATGTTATTTTAAGATTAACATGTCGCAGGTCTAGCTACCCTTTAAGAAGAGTTTATGCAGAGGAGTGTATTGGGGGTTAGGGTGCGTTTGGGTACAAAAGACCCAGGTCCAGGGCCAGCGCCTTTCATTTGACAGAAATGATTTACATCAGTTTGTCAAACTTTTATGATATCTCTCAGGCGAGAAAAAAAAAAAGGACAGCTTTAACGCAATGATACCAACCTTTGCTCCTTCCACCTGAATTCAAACCACCTGCTGGTCACAGCGAGTAGAATTAAAACATACTGGGTCCTCTTCTCTTTCTGTTCCCATCTGCTGGTTGTTCAGGCTTTTATAGTAGTTTATCACTGATCATTATTGAGGGAAGTGTGAGTAGTATGTATAGAATCCATTGAGTTATGTTTCCTAATGAGGACTCTGGCTGAAAAAGACTTTAAGGTAAGCTGCAAAGGATCACCTACCACAAAAACTTCTGCTGCTGCTGCTGAACAGCAGCACTCCAGGTGAGTGCAACTGACATGTCTTCTGCTATGTCACTATAGAGAAACTTGCTAGACACTTACATAGCAAAAATAACATGTGACCATGGAAGAAGAAAAAGCCAAGCTTTTCTTGTTTCTGACCAGGAGAACTGAGTAGAAAGAGTGTTATTCAGCAAGATTGAGAATAAGGGAGCAGAAGCAGGTTTGAGAGGCAGTTTTTTACTGTTGAATTTAGATTGTCTGTAGGAGATGTTCAGGAGGCAGATACATGTAATAGTTAAAATGGATTTGACTGAAAAGGAGTTTCCAGTGTGATGAGGGAGAATTGAAGACAGAATTCAGAGAAATATCAGTAGTAAGGGAGAGGTGAAAAAGTGAAGTCTCGAGGAGGTGTGGGAGCACACTTACTTAGGAAAGAGGATGCGGACCCAAGGCCAAAGAAGGTTTCAGAGAGGAAGATGCTGTCTGTACGCCAAGTGGAGGGAGCTCTCAGAGGCCAGCCTAGTTTACGTAGCCCAGTGCATGAACCCACATGCGCCAGGCAAGAGAATCGAGCTCCAGGAGGAATGCTGCGCCTGCAGGAGACACCAGAATTCGAGGACACGTGTGAAAATTAAATAGCATCAGGGATAGGGAGATATGTTTAATTTGTTTAAGATATTTTTAAGAGGTTATTCTGAATTTTTTTTTTAAGGCATATTTTCTCAATTTAGGAAGGGGATGTGGTGTTTTCCCAGCAGAGCTTTGGACTCTGGGGAAAAAGATGATAAAATTTTGTTCATGAATTAATTATATGACTTAACGGAATAGAAGATGTTTACTTTGATGTGAAGCTTTAGAAGCCAAAGAAAAATGCTGCAATGCTTTTAAACACGTTAGTGAGACGGTGAGAAAAAAAAGGATCTGTGGAACACAGCCATTCGTTATCCTCGAAATGGGAAGGTTTTGGAAACATGGAACCTCCAAAGTCCAGCTAGAACTGAGTAAAATCGGCTCTAGCCTCCACCTGATTAGCGCCCTGTGTGGACCCCCCTAGAAAAGTGTATAGTCGTAGTGTTGGTGGTTGTTATTGACCTTTGCTGAGTCTTATTCCTCGGTTTGATAAAGGAAGGACTTGAGTGACTTAAATTTCACCTAACACCGAGAAACATAGGCCACTCCAGCAAAATGTGGTAACCCTGTCCTCGACTCCCTGAAGTTCTACTACTCCTGCGGTCACACCAAGGTCCCACCCGGTCGCACAGTACATCCCTCTCCGCACCTCCCGGTCACTAACTCCCCTCGCACTTTTGCATGATTTTCTCTACTCTGTCGCAACCTGACTTTTGTGTGAAATTAATCATGACATGCCGCAGAAACTCCTAAATTCGGCTTTAGAAATAGATCCTGTGGGAAGCTAAAGTAGATTGCAATTAAATGCCCCTTACATGCCTCACCCAGTACGTCACAAGGCCTTGAGTGCACAAAACTACTTGTCACGACCACCCATACAGTTATTGTTCATATACCCATGCCCCTAAATATTTAAAAGTGTATGATTGAAACGCCTGATCACACTCCATGTGTGTAGCCTAAAAATGCTAGGTTTATGCGTTTTCTGTCACTGAACATTCCCTCTGTGTTCCTCACCTGTTGGTATCAAAATAAAAAAATCTTAATGAGCAATGAAGGTAGATCCCGTGCGGATCAGTGCGTTCCTCCTGTTTCATGCCACGCAGCACATAAGGTATAGTCGTGGATCATGCGTTTGTTTATGGACAGCAAGAAAATCTTCTATGGAAAAAGAGGAGAAAGAGTAAAGCATAAATCTGAAAATGAG